AAGATTGATACAAATTGTTCATTTATCCGCGTTAATTTGATGAAAAAATTAGATAGTGAACAGTCTTCGATTTTCGGTACTGATTTATTTTCTCATTGTTTTATACGACAAAAAAATTGATACGAATCGTTCGTTTATCCGAGTTAATTTGTTGAATAAGATTAGAGGGATAAGTACCTGAAAAATGAAAACAAATTGTCATTGCACTTGGACAATTTTTTGACACTGATTTATGGTATTAATCGATATTCGATTTTTGGTACTGATTTACTCTTTCATTTCTCAATAAGAAAAAAAATTCATACGAATCGTTCATTTATCCGCGTTAATTTGATGAATAAATTATATATTGGTCGGTCTTCAATTTTCGGTACTGACTGATTTTCTAATTTCTTTATAAGAGAATAAAAATTGATACGAATCGTTCTTTTATCTGATTTAATTTGTTGAGTAAATTAGTGGGGTAAGTACCTGCAAGATGAAAAAAATTGTCATTGCACTTGGACAATTTTCTTGATATTGATTTATGGTATTGATCAATCTTCGGTTTTCGGTACTGATTTATTTTCTCATTTTTTATAAGACAAAAAAAATTGATACGAATCGTTCGTTTATCCGAGTTAATTTGTTGAATAAGAATAGAGGGGTAAGTACCAGAAAAATAAGAACAAATTGTCATTGCACGTGGGCAATTTTTTAATACTGATTTATGGTATTAATCGATATTCGATTTTCGATACTGATTTACTCTTTCATTTATCTATAAGAAAACAGAAAATTAATACGAATCGTTCATTTATTCGTGTTAATTTGGTGAAAAAATTAGGTATTGATCGGTCTTCGGTTTTCGGTACTGATTTATTCTGTCATTTCTTTATAAGAAAAGATAAATTGATACGGATCGTTCGTTTAACCGAGTTAATTTGTTGAGTAAATTAGAGTGGTAAGTACCTGAAAAATGAGAACAAATTGTCATTGCACTTGGACAATTTTCTGACACTGATTTATGGTATTAATCGATATTCGGTTTTCGGTATTGATTTATTTTCTCATTTTCTTAAAAGACAAAAAAAATTGATACGAATCATTCGTTTATCCAAGTTAATTTGTTGAATAAGATTAGAGGGGTAAGTACCTGAAAAATGAGAACAAATTGTCATTGCACTTGGACAATTTTTTGACACTGATTTATGGTATTAATCGAGATTCGATTGTCGGTACTGATTTACTCTTCCATTTCTCTATAAGAAAAAAAATTCATACGAATCGTTCATTTATTCGCGTTAATTTGATGAGTAAATTATATATTGGTCGGTTTTCAATTTTCGATACTGACTGATTCTCTAATTTCTTTATAAGAGAATAAAAATTGATACGAGTCTTTCTTTTATCCGACTTAATTTGTGAGTAAATTAGTGGGTTAAGTACCTACAAGATGAAAACAACTTGTCATTGCACTTGCATAATTTTCTAACGCTGATTTATAGTAATAATCAATTTCCGTTTTTCAGTACTGATTTAGTCTTTAATTTCTCTATAAAAGAAAAAAGATTGATACAAATCGTTTATCCACGTTAATTTGATGAATAAATTCGGTATTGATCGGTATTCGATTTTCGGTACTGTTTTCTCCTTTCATTTTTCTATAAGAAAAGAAAAAATTCAGACGAATTGTTCATTTATCTGCGTTAATTTGATGAAAAAATTAGATATTGAACGGTCTTCGATTGTCGGTACTGATTTATTTTCTCATTTTTTTATAAGACAAGAAAAATTGATACGAATCGTTCATTTATCCGCGTTAATTTGATGAATAAATTTAATATTAATCGTGCACGATGGAGGGGGGAGAGGGAGAGGGAGAGGGATTTGGATAGGTGGTAGAAAGGCTGCTAGGAGAGGGGGGAGGGAGAGGGAGGTTGAGAGGGGAGTAAGAGTGGAGGGGGCGAGAGGGAGGAGGAGGAGGAATAAAAGGATGAAAGAGAGAGCGAGAGAGAGAGTGTGAAGGAACGGAATGAATGGAGGAAAGCGAAAATCGGCGGTAGGAATTAAGAATTATAGGAGTAACAGCGGCATAGTAATATAGATATATACATATGTATAAGAATAAATGATAAGCGAACAATTAATTATAAGAGATAAACGAGAGAATAGATGTAAGATATTTTGTAAAATAGATTTAAGGAGGGGCGGAGGATGGGAGTGTGTGTGTGTGTGTGTGTGCGCGAAGGGGAAGGGGCGAGCGTAATAGGAAGTAAGGAGGAGAGCTTATATTGGAATTTGTAACCCCGCCAGTGGAATCAATAAAGTATACATACAATTAAATATTGATCGGTCTTCAATTTTCGGTACCGATTTATTCTTTCATTTCTTTATAAGAGAAGAAAAATTGATACGAATCATTCGTTTATTCAAGTTAATTTGTTGAATAAATTAGAGTAAATACTTAAAAAATAAGAACAAATTGTAATTGCACGTGGACAATTTTCTGACGTTGATTTACGGCATTGATCGATATTCGATTTTCGGTACTGATTTACTCTTTCATTTCTCTATAAGAAGAGATAAATTGATACGAATCGGTCGTTTATCTGAGTTAATTTGTTGAATAAGATTACAGGGGTATGTATCTGGTAGAGATGTGCGAACTATTCGAATTCGAATCGTATCGAATCGAATTACATTAGATTCGATTCGAATCCGAACCCCTATGATTCGAATAGGAATCAAATATATTATCGTTTGTGTGCATCAGCTACAAAACAAGCCAAAACTGGGCCTGTATGTTTGAACCCTTAACTTGTAATTAACTTAACTTATAATTAATAACTTAAATATAAATTACTTTAAATATTTAAATATATATTTTACTTTAAGATGATATTACAATATCAATATTCCCTTCCATATTAAAATCTTTCATCATTATTTACATGTTTAATAGTCATGTTAAATTTTTTAACGATTCGATTCGAATTCGAATTTAAAAAACGAGATTCGATTCGATTCGACATAAAAATTCTTGATTCGCACATCTCTAGTATCTGGAAAATAAGAACAAATTGTCATTGCACGTGTGCAATTTTTTGACACTGATTTATGGTATTAATCGATATTCGATTTTCGGTACTGATTTAGTCTTTCATTTTTCTATAAGAAAACAGAAAATTAATACGAATCATCCATTAATCCGCGTTAATTTGATGAATAAATTAGGTATTGATCGCAGAAGTCTTTCATTCTTTATCAGTTCACGCTAGGGAAAAGATTCATAATCGCTGCCCCGAGCAGCTGCAACGCTTTTCGAATCATCTATGTCGGCGCGCTTTTACTCGTCAGATTTCTGTCATTAATAACTCGATAATTATTGCGAATCTCGCAAAATGATATGGGACTTTTTTGTTTGTCTCAACCCAATTTACCCTCACACTTCGGGTTGGCAGCTAATTATCGGACACTTCGTATGATCTTCATGATATTAATCATACACAATGTCAATTCTTTTTTTTTCGCACATGTTAACATGTTAATTCATGTTATAAACGCGTAACAATGTGCGAGACCGTGCTTGTCAAGTACGCTATTATGGTTGTAGCACGGACATAAACCGCCTAAAAATGGATGTAGCACGGACTGCCACCACATACAGGTTTTACCGCCGAAACCTGAAAGTGGATGTAGCATCATAGTTCCCCTCTCAAAATGGATGCAGATGGCGCCCTTTCCCAGTGCGGTGTCATCGAAAACACCGTGTTGGCCGCTCTCACGTTCCTCTCTGCTATATATAATAGTAGGCGGCGATTCAAAACTCTCTCTCCCGTGCGCTGAGCTTACCTAGTTATGAACAGAGTCAAAATTGGAGCATTCCTGCCTCATGTAAAACCGCGCGGATTCGTCCGATTTAACGATCCGACGATAGTCTTGTTCGCCTCCGTAGCGGTTGAATATGATTCCTATAACTACGCATATTTTTGATCTTGGGGACCGCGTACGCGTTGTCCCTGTTTCTCTTTTATTTCCAAAATCGTTGTAATTGGCGTAGGAGAAGGAATGTAATAACTCTGCTCAGAGTTATATATTGAATGAATGAACGATCCGACGATTATAAGGCCCTTAGTAAGGCCCGATTGACTCTTTCTTTAATTCGTTGTCTCTGTGAGAAGCCGTATTATCGAAACTTGTTCTTTAGCGATTCCAAGACGATATACGCGTTGTTTTTGCCCATACCGTTTCTACTTATGAAAGTGCGTGTCATCGAGATACTGTTAATATTTTCGTGCTGAATATATTGAGACAGAAATATAGAAATTGTGTTGTGTATTAATCAAGACTGATTTATTGAATCCTGGCGGGAAGAACCACGTACTTAACAAATATAATTCGTTACTCTTCCATAATTAGTCACTGATCTCTTGCTACCGGTAAATCGCAAGGTCATTCCTTACAATTGGTTTGTTGTTTGTAGCTGCACTGTTGAACTGGTGCAATAAGTTAAAGTGAGACAAATATAGGTTTGCTCACTCTAGCTTATTGCACCTTCTCAGTAGTGCAGCTACAAAGACCAGACCATATATTGCATTATCTTTTTTTAAAGGTACTAAAAACATTAAATCTTATTTTACAGCACTACAGTCCTTCCAGTGAAGTTGCATATTGTTAATATTTTTAGTACCTTTAAAAAAAGATAATGCAATATAATAATAATAAAATATAATAAAATTATACATAATTCTCCTTTTTATTTACTATATTTATTCCTAAACTTCAGATAATTAAGCTGACAATAAATTAATCTTAAATATAATACCCAAATATTCATTAAACAATCAATCTTTATTATCAATTGCTTAAATACTTGTTTTCCCATATATTTAGAGTCATCTCCTAATACCTAACAATCATATCTAATCATATCTAATAATAGACAAAAAAATACTTAAAAATTCTTAATTGTATATGTTATAAAAAGATAGATACATATCAATGAAAAAATGCTTGCATCATACATATATTTTTATTAGTCAACTCAATTCATTTGTCATATAAAGTTGATAAATAGTTTTACTGATGACATGTCCAAGTTGCCGTTTTTTATCACCTACTTGAATGCTTGCTAATAATTGTTCTCCATTTTCATCACAACTTTGCAAAGATGCAATTAAAACTTCCGGTGTAGCATAATGTTTAACAATCGCCATGACTTTATCTACAGACATACCTTTTAATTGTAATAATTGGCGGATAAACATTTCACTTACTTTGAATGTCTGAAAAAAATATGTCGTTAAGTCATGCTATATTCTAAATACATAATAATGAAAATATGTTTAATACATACTCTTTGTTTAGAAGATGATTTATTAAATTCCTTGAATTCCATAAGATTTATTGTGCCATTTATATAATTTGTCTGGATAAGCTGTTCTTTCTTACATCCAAAGAGTCTTTTATCCTAAAAAAAATTAGTTTTCAATGTTATAAAAAATAATATACAATTATATATAGTAACATATAATATTCCTTACATACATACCTTGTAGATTTTAATCAAAGTTTTGGTTACATATGACAAATATAATATAGAATCTTTATGATTCCTTGTATATTTTACTGTAAAATTATCTTGTACTAAACAATTCACAGAAGCTTGCAATAATGATTGAAGTGGTATAGAAAATCGGGTACTTTTATCTACATTTTCTACTATATACATAAGATTTTCAATACCAGACTGTTTTAATCGGAACTAAATCACAAAATAAAAATAATATAAAAAATGATAATAAGTGATAATAAAACATTTGGAATAAAAAATATATAAAAAGATAAAATTATATTTATCAAATACCTTCTGCTCATGAAACCTGCCATCTGTGATACTTGCACTTAAATCATCTATTCGCTTTCTTTCAACTATATAAGGTATAACCAATTCATCATTAGTTTTTTTACATTTGGCAATCCATGCAAAGTCACCAACTTTCAAACGACGTACTTCAAACGACACACCAAGTTGTGTCAACTCAACAAGTGTAGCGTCATATTGAAATTTTGTTTTTCCACTGAAACATACTCTACGTAAGATAAATGTTATAGCGCTTGAACATGTCCCAATGATTGAATTATTAATAATATATTTTCGTTTATTAAGATACTTATCAATAAATGGAACAAAATGATAAACTAAAAAGAATGTTTAATATTTTTTATGGAAGTAAATTATAAAAATATATAATTTGACTGTAAATCATTAAAAAATTGTTTATTTTGGGTATAATAAAAATAGTCACATTTTCACTTAGTTTCTTACTATATTGAACAAGATATGATATTTACATTTTCAATATATTTTTGAAAATTCTAATCATATTTACTTACATTATAAATACACAATGCTTTTTATAGTTTTAAACAATCAAATAATACATTTAAAAATATCATTTTACCTAAAAATTTCTTTTTAAATATAAATAAATTAATATGCAATCATTGGTACAGTCAAAATTATAATGACTCACTGATTAAACACATGTTCAGTTATCAGTATACATGTCACTTATATTCATGTCCCATTGATTAAACAAATACTTTTGATAGATCGTTAATAATTCAAGTCTATAAGAGAGAATTTTTATTTTTTAACTGGAAAAGTTTTTAAATTTAAATTTAATATTTTTTTTTGGTATATAATAACAAATTACAAATTAAGTAACACCATGGAGATAAAGTATTAATCTAAAACATAACCTTTTAATATAACATTTTATTTGTTTTATTGTCAACTTTAGTTTACTATGTGGAAGGAAAAAAGAAAAAGAACTATTCACAAACTACGCTTAACATTGATGTAGAGACAATTAGAAAAGGAATGAGCATATATGAAGTGACATAGAATTTAGAATATCTAAAACAAAATTAAATTTCTTTGGAAGATTCAATGGGTCCAGTTACTTATTTAAGTAAAGAAGAAAAAAGTGCAATTGTGGATAATATATATTGGGCAAGAGTGGATAATATATCTTGGGCAACAAGGCTCTCTAGTAACCAAAAATCAGTGCTTGATACTGTTCATATTCTTATAATAGATTCAAAGAGACAAATACCTTTTAAAGACTAAAAGCCTGGTCATCCTGGCCTTGATATGAAGGATTTATACCAATTTATTTTATTTTTTTATTTTCTTTATATTAAAGTTATTAATATAATTGTATATTCAATTATTGGGTCTGTACTATTCAGTAGGACATGACTAGTTTCTCTGTTCAATTACTAGTACAAATGACATTACCTAATATTTCATTAAAATTACAGTATACAACTATCGATTATTTCATTTCTTATTATTTTTCGATAGCTGATAAATATAGTTTTATATAAACATTAATCTTTTTAGTAATACTATTAGTTACTTATTAATAAAAATATAAAATTGATCGAGCTTTGTTATTAGTTCAATCATTGGGATATTTACTTTAAATAACAATAAAAGATATGAAGATATACAATACTTTGCATTTTATAAGTATAAAATGATTAAATCATGTAAATAATAATTGCCTAAGGAATAATAATGATCACAAAAGATATAAAAAAATTCATAATCTCTCTTTCTAAAAACTCTTTATAGTTGGAATATAAATCAACTATTCACTCACCCACTAGTTTCTTGAGTATCCACCAACAATATAATATCAAAAATATCAGGCTCGAAACAAATCTGTCTATCAGTATGCTTTGATACTATTTCGTTAACATTTACTAACTTTTCTGTGATATTTTTCTTTTTATTACTAGCTTGTTTAATAATTATTGCTTTTTCCTGTGTTTCACTAGTTATCTGATTTTCCTCCGTTGATGTCTTTTTCGTATAATTTTCATCATTACTGACTACAGCAATGCAATTAACCGCGTTATTGGATTCTTGTTTTCTGTACTCTTCTAACTTCCTATCCAGCATCGAGCATAACTTTGTGCCGAAATGTTGCAAAATTATACAATCTCTGCCAGACTCCAACGGTAACGGATATCTCTTTAATGAATCCAATGCCTTCGCAAAATGTTTCCACAAGTCGGATTTTCGATGTATTGCTTCGTTCTTCCATTCTTCTAACCAAGTCTCAAACAATCGATTAGGCTTGTCTCGTACTATTTTAATTCTTTTCATATTGACACGTCAGTCCAGTGTTAACTAAGTCGCGAATACTTTCACGAATACATCAAACATGTGATAAACCCAAGAACGAGATAGTACCAGTATTAAAGAAATCAAGTAAAAAATATGGACGATTTTTCATTAAAATAATTTGTTACTTACGTGTGTATCATCTCACATTCTTTATTAATTTTCTAAACAAATTTATAAATTTAGACCAACTAAACATTCATTTTCTACTCAACAAAACTTATAAGTTATAGTAACATAACCTTACATTCGAAAATTGTACGTGTATGGGTTAGGTAACTGGTTTTTAATCGTTAAATCATCAATTAAAAAAATATGATTGAGCCAAATCAAGAGAATAACCAAGGTGGGTTACGTGTGGATGGTAGGCGGGCGTTAGAATTACGGCAAATTCGCATACGAATGGGAGTATTTGGACAAGCCGATGGCAGCGCATATATAGAACATGGCAATACAAAAGTTTTAGCAGCAGTGTATGGTCCTCATCAGGTACAAATTACATTTAAATATCATTTTGCGAACATTCGAACAATTTATTAATTGTTTGACGTTCAGTCATGTAATTCAAGTCAAATAGTGATTTTCAGTATGACTTTCAGTTGTGAAAAACTACAGACTACTAAGTAACCGATAGTATACATTTATTTATAGTTGAAAATTATAACAATGTAACAAAGCAATTGTTATAACAAAGCAATTTTTTTATCTTATACTTTCTTAACACATGTTTATTTCTCTATATTACTGTATACTGTATGTGAAGACTTGTAATTATGTTCTTCATATTAAATATCTCATATTTGTCTTCAACTATACTATAACTACTTATATATTCTATATGCTTCTAATATTTGATCTAGCCAAGGAACAATATAGCAAAAAACACTACAAAAGCTATTGTAAATTGCCAATACAGCATGGCTGTATTCAGTTTTACCTCTGGCGAAAGGAAGCGAAGACCAAGAGGAGATTGGAAATCACAAGAAAGATCAATTCAATTGCGCCATGCAATGGAAGCTATAATACATTTAGAATTGTATCCACGTTCTCAGATTGATATCTTTGTAGAGATTTTACAAGTCGACGGTAGTGATTATTGCGCATCTGTAAACGCAGCAACGCTCGCATTGATCGACGCTGGAATCCCGATTAAGGTAGTTATGGAAACACTTTTACATAATTAAAAGTAAAGTTTTATGAATAATTAAAAGTAAAAACTCTCTAAGTAACTCAAGATATTTATCTGATTACAGAATTACGCTGTAGGCTGTACTGTGGCTCTTATAAATACACCATCAACAGATGAACAAGACAAAACATTAGCAGGAGGAGTATTGGATGCAAACTTTGTAGAGGAATACTCACCAGGAGTTACTTTATCTGTCGTCGCATTACCTGGAACAAGTGAAGTTGAGTCAAATGAGAACGGTTTAATTGTGGTAGCACATGGGACAGGGCAAAGATTACACTTATCACATTTAGAAGCACTCAAACAACGAGCATTACAAGGTTGTAAGGATATAAGAACTATAATGGACCAATCCGTAAGACAACATTTAACTGCAAATATACTTCCTTCTTTTCTGCAGAATTCATTTTAGTAAGAGAAATATGACAAATGTGAAAAATATATTTCACAATTTTATAGATAATCATATACAATGTAACATGTTTAACTATACAAGATATTAATAGAAAATAATTTTTCTCTTACAAAGCTCGCAATCGTTTCAAACATTTATATTTCTTTGTAAATTATTTTTTCCTCTCTCCTTCCAGTAAAAAAAACCAATTTGTTTCTATTTGTCGAAAAAAATCCATCTTATCTAAATATATCTAATATCTAAATATTATCTCCTGCATTTCTCTAAAGGTCAGATTTTTGCTCCAGGGTATCTTTCCATGATCATTCCAACACCCTGTTAAATAAAAAAAGATATTAACATTACAAAATGAAAGAAAATGTTTAAATTCAAAAAAACTGATGATTTGATACTAGAATCAAAACTTGATAACTTTCACATTCTAACTAGTATATTTCTAAATTTTATTTTACCTGTCCACCGGCAGCACAGGCCGAAATAAGACCGAATTGCTGATCTTCCTTTATGAGTCGATTAGCAGTATGCGTTGCCAATCGTACTCCAGTAGCGGCGAATGGATGACCAAGTGACAAAGATCCACCCCATGTGTTCCACTTGTTCAGCTCGGGTATACCGATCTTTTCGCTCTTCTTGAGGAATTGTTGTGCAAACAAATCTGAATCTAATGCTTTCAGATTAGCGCAGATTTGTGCGGCGAATGCTTCGTGTACCTCCCACACTCCTATATCCTTCATGCTTAATTTTGCTTTGTTCAGTACCTAGCAGTGCAATTTATTTCTATACAAATCTCAATATGTACTATTTAGGTCAATTTGCGAATAATAAAAGTTCACGTGTTAACTCAGCCAGTAGTATATTAACTTATGAAAACTATGTACCTTTGGTATTGCGTACGCTGGACCAAGAAGTAACTGATCGACCGGATCTTGAGACACATAGGTAAAATTTCGTAAATACGCTTTAGGTGTCAATCCAAGTTGAAGAGCCTTTTCCTCGGTCATTATCAACGCCGCAGAGGCGCCGTCGGTCAAAAAAGACGCATTAGCCGCAGTAACTGTACCATATGGTTTCACAAAGGCTGGTTTCAATTTCGCCATTTGCTCCTCCGTAGATACACGAATACCGTTATCTTTGTCCACAACTTGATCGACACCTTGCACTGCAAAACCGCAAAGCGAGCAAATGTATCATTTAAAAATAAACAAATAAATCAATAAAATAAATATCAAAAAACACTTAAAGGGACATTTTAAAGGTATTTGAAAAGTTGAAAAAACCTTTAAAAGGTATCACATCCGACAGATTTCCCTGTTGCTGAGCTTGTGCGGCTAAAGTATGAGAACGTAATGCATATTCGTCCTGTTCCTTACGCGTCACGCCGAAAGCCGCTGCTAACCGATCTCCACAATGTCCCATAGTTTCACCAGTTGAAAATTCTGCTACAGCTGGCAGCTACACAAAATTATGAATGAATTTAAAGAATACATAAGAGTCTTTATACATGAAAAATTCAATCTCATTTTTAAATTAAAAATTATATACTTATTACATATAAAAATACATATATATAAAATAAATAAAGATTATGATATTTCCTACATTCATCTCAAAGCTCCATTTTATAATTAAAAGTTGACTGTATCTCAAAATATGTATGAGAGTCTTAAGGTCAATGTTTATCAAACTTTTTTCATTTCGATTGTTTTTAAGTGTAAAATAAACTTGCAAAATTTGTAATAGAATTTTGAACTTATTCTTTCTGTTTGATGTTACTTTTCTCGAGAAGAAGAAACAACTTACATCAGGTATGAAATGAGCCGGTCTAATACTAGCCAAAAGAGTAAATTTGTTCATCAACGTTTTTGCCTTGTTGGCTTGCAGCATCAAAGATCTCATGCGTCGACTGTGCCTAATTGGGATATCCGACATAAACTCGACTCCTCCTGCCACAATGGCATCATAAACACCACAGGCGATTAAGCCCATAGCAGTAGTGATAGCTTGATTACTACTAATACAAGCCATTGTTACTGTATGTGCAGGAGTATGTTCACTATATCCTGCAGCTAGAGCAGCTTCTCTTCCAATATTAGAAGTCCGTACTTCTTGCATTACTGTACCATATACAATATAATCTACAATCTCCTTGGGAAAGTTGATTTTCTTTTGCAAGCTCCTATAACAAGAAATAAAACAAAAAATTGTTTATATAAATAGAGAAAAATATTTATTAGAAAAATAAAATTATATGAGTATATTTTTATAAAATCTTTATTTTCATGATTGTCATCTCTTAGTAATTTGTAATCAAATATTATTTGTAATCAAATATTATTTACACTAGTGACTTACACCAACGAGTGCCTTGCAAGATCATATGCTAGGAGATTTTTATATTGCGTTCCAGACTGTAAAAATGGAGTCCGTACTCCATCAACAAATACAATGTTTTTTGGGCCATTATTACTTTTTGTAGAATATGTCTTACTTGCAGAAATACCAGAACAACGAACAAGGATTTCTGTTAAGTAAAAATTATAGATAATAATTCAAAATATAATTGGAGATAATAAAACAAATATATGCAGATGCAAATCATGCTTAATATATTCTAACATATTATTTTCCTTTTTCAAATCCATCTATCATATTCATCATAAATATTATGCAATAATATGTATGATATATATAATATATACATTGTAAAAACATAATATAAATATGATTGTAATTATGTACAGTATATATAATAACAAAAAAAAGAAAGTGTTATAATATAAAAAATTAACATCCATACTGGCTGTTCGTATAGTCTTTGTATAAATAATAATAATAATTTTTGCACAAATAACGCCATTTGTGTAAAATAATTTACGTATCATAAACAAAATTAGAAAACGCGTAATATCCTAGAGGACTTTGTATCACATTAATCTTGTTTATTTCGTTCACTATATATAAAACATTCAATAATCATAAAATAAAGAATTACTCTCCTTACCAAAATTGACGATCTTATGCTTTGCCACCAGGCAATTCCTCAATAAAGGAAACATTTTGAATAAAATATAAATTAGATTATGTTTGCCTGAAGCGCTAAATATTGAAACTTACAATACTAAATTGTGATTAAGAAATGTACGACGTTGAACTTGGACTTTGATTCGTGACAGATCTTAGCAGGGAGTACAGACTCCCCTCTTCAAAAACGAATGCCAGGCGCCACCTGGAGCTATACCCGGACGTTGCTGAACTAAAATGGGTCACGTGATACGGAGTGGGGGTACGCGGTGGTATTCAAACTCCTGCAGCCGCGCACTTTCATATATATACTGTTTTGTGCAAGTGTGAACACAGAAAAAGAAATATTTTTAATAAGTATCTTAATAAGTATTTTTAATAAGTATTTTATAAATAATAAAATAAAGTACAAAACTTTATTTTTATGTTTACTTATACATGCTAATTAATCATTATTTTGCCCAATTAATTAACATGTATGAGTAGACATAAAAATAAAGTTTTGTAAAATATTTCTGAAAAATATTTCTTTTTCTATGTTCACATTTGTACAAGATTATATATATGCATATTGAGTTGTGTAATTTCAAAATTATTAGATAAAATGAAATGATAGAATTTTTATGTCTGTATAATTTTATAAAATAATTGTATAGAAAATACAAAATTATAGATATTAGCGGCATGCAACTATATACAACGACACAACTCAATATGCATATATTAGAAACATAATATAAATATAAAACTACATATTTATTACAACTTTTATTTTGTACTTTTTTATTGCCATGTTTCGCAGGCCATGCTCCGCAGGCAGAGCAGCAGCTCTCATCCTTTTCGAGTCGGAATGCGTTCCGAAGGTTACTATAAAAAGCTCACCAACTATTATGTCCGCAAGTGTATGAGGGCCCTTAACTTCAATGCATTGCGCACAGCGTTGCCAGTCATGACACATTCGTACCATATGTGGCACAATTAAAGGTCAATGGCACACAGGCACAATTTAGTGATTTGGTGATACATTATGCATTTTTTGTGGCACAAAAGAAGAAAAAGTGATACAATTCCATTTTTAAATGAAAGTTTTAAATCTTTGGCTTCTATAACAAACGTATTGCATTCTACAAGCAAGAGTATGTAGATTTAGTATAACCAATAAAGTAGCATTTACATTATCTGGAGTGCGTTCGGAACTTGCACATTACGGATAAAGTAACTAGCATCGGATTAACCAATAAGAATAAAAAGAGCAAATATCTTTTTAACATGATTGGTTAATTCAATTACTCTACATTCAGGGCCGTATTTATAGTCGGATCTTATATTTAAGACCGTCTTGAGTTCAGATATTCTGTAGCCAATGAAATGATCTATGCAGCATCTGAAGATGAACTTAAGACGATCTTAAATATAAGACCGGACTACGAATACGGCCCTCAGAGTAAAGATTCCTCCCCTCTAAAGATACACAAGAAGTATTAGCTTTTAAGATGCAAATATAAGATTAGACAATAAAAACTACTTATTCCTCAGTTCTTATAAAATCTTCAAAATATATTAATTTAGCTCGAATGGCACAAAACGCACTAATGTGGCACACTTTTTGGCACAATCGAACACGGGCTGCGTTCCGATATTCACTGCCAGCACTGAAATTCTATAGTATACGTGACATAAACTATGTATTTTCAGTATTGGCAGTGAATTTCGTAACTCAGCCACGGTTTTGCTGGCGACACTGATTGCGCATGCTTCTCAGTTGGTCTGTATTATCGGTATGACAGATTTCCTAATCTCATGTGTCGTTTTTCAGATTCTTATAATTTTTAATCCGTTTGAGAGCGATATTTTTTTTCTTTCAAAATCGCATTCTACGCACCAAAATAGATAGTTGTACAAAGCTCGGCGAAATTGGTGAGAAGTATTTTAGATAATTACCAAATTATTTTATCACTAAACAACAAACCAACTTAACCTAGACTAAAATACTTAAATATTAACTATTTTAATTTGAGACTTCTCTCTTTCATTGAAGATTACTATTTAATATGCAAATGTTTACAGCACTGTACAAGATTATAGAGTGTAAAATTAACTCATGTATTCACGTTGCATTCATTGCTAATCATTCTTAATCATGGCCTCAAGTAGGAGTACAAAAGAAGTCCTATTATCACTTATAGATGACATCGAGTTAATAGCAAAGTAAGTTATATCTATTATAAATGATTTAAATTGGTCAAAAAGTCAGGAAAAATTTTTGAAGAAAGAACCTATAAACTTTGATGTTTAAATATTATTAAGTTGTACAATGTTACTATATATTTTCAATAAATAGTAAAGATTATGAATTTCATGTATTATTTTATTCTTTCAGAGAAATGATAGAAAATACTATTGCTCAAAAACCAGCAAAGCTCTCAAACATAGAACATGCTCAACTCACTGAACTATTGGTTGCCAAGGATAATGAATTAAAGTCAACATTAAAACGAGCAGCTGAACAAGCCAAGATTAACTTAAAGATGGAAGCTTTAAAAGCTGAAGTAGAAAGGCAAGACCAGGATATCCAGCAACTACAACGGCAGTTAAAGGAAGCAGAACAAATCTTGGCTACAGCAATTTATCAAGCAAAGCAAAAATTACAATCTATTGCTCGTGCCAATAAAAGACCTGTTGCTTCAGAAGAGCTTATTAAATATGCTCATAGGATTAGTGCAACAAATGCCATTTGTGCACCATTATCATGGCAACAAGGAGATCCCAGGAGGCCATATCCTACGGGTACTTTATATACTTTATATTAACATAACTATATCTATTATTTCACTTGAAATATCACATATATATGGAATATATGGAAAAGCTTCCTGTGTATATATCTAAATATAATTAAAATCTTCAAACTTTCTATAGATATCGAGATGAGATTAGGATGTCTAGGCAGACTGAATGATGTACCTTTGAATGGACAGATGCTTGGGTCTCATCCAAGCATACCATCTGACTTGCATAGAGCAGGACATCCTGCTGGGGGTAAAATATTTTTATTATACACTATTCAAATGGACAAAAAAACACGAGATAAAAACTAATGAAACAATAATTGTATTTCTCTCAGGACTCGGCTTGAATTTACAATCTTTTGTTGCCATTTCAGAACCACCTGTTTCACAATCAAACCAATTTGCATGGCATCCATCAGGAGAAATTCATATGTCTGTTGGTGGACAAGGCAGTGTGGCTGTGAATACACACAAGCAAGAGACTGAAGACGTTGAAGTTATGTCTACAGATTCTTCGAGTAGTTCGTCCAGTGATTCTCAATAGATATAAGTTTATTTATATCTATATTTAGAGTTTTCAATAAATATATAAATATCTTTGTATTACAGACTATATAATCTAAGTAATAATAGCTTAGAAATAAAAACATGAAAATTTTACATGTTACAGTCTTGACTCTGCATTTATTGCTATGTAGATGTGCATTCCAAAAGAACTTTTGGTAGAAGATTATGTAAAATAGTAATAGGGTAATACATCTCTGGATTAGCCTATAATAAAAAACAAATGAGATACGAAATGAATAATATAAATTATTAGAAGTATAGGATATATTAATTTATCCATCTAAATACATATTTATTAACATTATACTAACCAATAAAATTTTGTCATCAAACTGTGATTTCTCGAATAGAATATTTTTGTTAGTAAACATTAATCCAAATAGCTTGCAATCTGCCTGGATTCTACTTATGTCTTTGTAAAATAACAGTTCCTGTAATTTTAGTCCTGGGTACGTTAACACTTTGCTGTTATAACCAGAACTCATAATTTGTAGAACATTTCTGAAATATATTTATCTCTTTAATAACTTTAATTAGTTACCTAGATGCAATTTGGTTCTAAATGTTATATATTTTAATTATGCTTCATATGTATGATTATAAGTGATAAACATGAAATATTAAGTACTTCCTGAAGCTCTGTAAATTACAAAAGAATGCACAAGCCAGTATTGGAGGTAGCTGTTTAACTAAATGGTGAACACGTACATAGTTTCTCAGATACCAAGATAATGATATTTGTGTAGCTAATTTAACTGCTGGTGAATTTCTGTTCAAAAACATATTAATCAATATTAACAAGTTTTTAAATGTCTTTTCCATTGCAGTATCAACTTACTTCAGATCCGATGAAAGTGTAAGAGCTCTTTTTAGTGCATCTTGATCTCCAATATGAAGGAGAATGTATAAAGCTTCCATTTCTGATCGACTATTGTTTAATGTCATTTTATCAAAATCTTTATATATACTTGTGTCATCAATTCTATTGTTACTGTCTTGTTCATCATACAGCACAAGTAAATGCTTGATACATTCTAACAAGTGCTTATTATTTATCTTTGCATCAAATTTTGAAATATTTTCCTCACATAGCCTAAAAGGAATGTTAAAAATAAGTTTTATAAATTATCAAAATTTTTTAAAAAGGCTCTTTGTTTTGTTTATACCTTTGTGCTGCATAAACATGAAAACGGGTAATTGGTTCTAGGAGGCGAACATTTGCAGCAGTATCAATTCTTTGGATTACAGCATCTTGGCGTACTGATCTCAATCGATCAAAAATAAAATCATATATGAACACCCAGTTTAAATCTGTTCTTGTGATTATTCTGAAATATTATTAAATATTAACTGCTTTATATAGATATTTTTTTATATTGCATCTCCTAATAGTAATAATATATACCAATATGATAAAAGTTTGTGTAATAGGTATGTGTGAAATATGAAATGAAAGTTACTCTGTAAACAAGTATCGGATGGTAGATAACAATATATGCGGTGGACGTAATGAATCTGGATTTGTCATAACTTGACCAGCAGCAGACCGACTAAAGCACTTTACTACTTTGGCAGGGTCAACCTTGGGTCTTTTCATATGTCTTGTTTTCTCATCAATTTCATATATATGTAATAATCCTTCTATCTCCCTCCTAAATAAAAAAAAAAATACAGTATTTGATAAATCTTACACTTTCTTAGAATTTTGTCTTCTCATATTTTATGATAATATAAAGTATATACAAAGATGAGCAAAATATATATTCCCATTTATAAATTATCTTACTTATATATATATATATAAAAGCAAAAGATAAAGATTATCAAATATCAAAATTTGTGTTACAAACAGAATTTTTATTCATATCTCTCAGTTTTGAATTTCTCAATCCAAATGTTATGTATAGAAAACTTACATCCGTTGCTCTTTTACCGGACACATTGATAAACATGTCCCTAATATCGACTCGGACGTCGTCATTGCACTTTTCGTGTTCGCGCATAAATTTGTACAATATTATAATTTTATTATTATAGACTTATATTGGGGAACATATCGTATGCATTATGAGCGTATGTGTTTACACGAAGTTGAAAGTCGAGGTTTCTTTCTCAAAGAACTTCCTGAATTGGTACACATGATGCATAAGTTAAAGTGAGATAAGAATATTTTGTTTCACTCTAACTTATCATACGAATGTGCATCAAGTTTAGAAGTCTTTCGAAAAAACAGACTATCGGCGAAAGAATCGTTGGCCAATTCCTTCTCGAAGAATTGGTGTATGTGTGTCTGTATGTACAAGTACAATACTCTTTCAGAGCATGAAAGAAATAGATATATGCTTGAGACATAATGGACAGAAGAGGAAAAGAGAACGAGTGCACGATAGTGCAGGGAGTGCAACAAGAGAGGATAAATTACGCGTTGGAGGCGTAATTCCAAGCGTGAAGATATAGATGACGCTCTGATGTATGCTTTGACAGATGTATTGCGTGTTTCGTAACTCGAGTACTGTTGCAAGCAGAGAAGGGAACGGGTATGTTTTGACGAGCATATAAATCGTATTTTATATGTGAAACTTATATGATGAGTGATTGACTGAACCGAAGAATCACTCGGAGCACATCATTACGTAGACAATGAGTACCGCAACGCCAAGACGGCCTCGACGGATACGAGATCCCACACATACAATGCATGCGCGTCTACGCTTGACTGCGATTCCCGCCGATTTGTTACCAGGTATACTCGATATGCTGGAACTGACATCATATCGTGTTTCTTATTCTTGATACACAATTATCGGATTCTTCCACCAAATTAGTACGTTTTCGCTTAACGCTCTGACACTCCCGCGCGAATTAACCTCAAATATTTATTTATGCATGCGTTATAGGTGTGTCTCGCACCATGGATATACCTTCAGTAGAGAACTTGTTAAACAGACGCCCCGACGGTTGGACTTCACCACAGAGTCCCGACGAACTTGTTATACAGAAAAGAGGTCGACGTAGAAGCATAGTATGGTCTCCTGATCTGGATGCTAATAAAAGAAATAATTTGCTTAGGTACACTCTGTCTCTTGTACTATTCCTATTTGTATATATTTATGCACACTGATGTCAGTATTAAAATTACTATTTTCATTAGAAATAATAATAAATGTTGAATCTGTGTTGAAAGACCTTTTGAAAGGTCACGAGCAGCAGTTTAATCACATTCAAGATTCAAGGTGATTCACGTTGGATATGACAATAGTTAAACATTAATATTTCCAAAGTACTTAAAATTTTTGTAAATACAAGTTTCTCAAATAAGATGTTAAACAAATGACATTGTATATTTAAAGTGATTATTAATGTGTTTTTTATGAGCATATTACTACTAGTAAGTCTAATAATTTGACATCTATGATTTAGATTCTATGGCTTCATTGCTTCTTATATTTAGTCCATATATGCAACACTTTGTAATCTTGAGGAAAATGCGGATCACAGATATTTAGAAATAGTATATCTAATGGTTTTTTCTATTAATTTGATAAATCTTGTACCTCAGTCTGAGTTCCAGAGAACGTACGCCAGTTAAAAGCCCACAAGCTTCGAGGGATATCTTAAAGAGTACACCTAGAAAAAGGCTTTCTCTTATTGATATTTGCCAGTCTGAATTTACCACACCAGAGAAGAAAAGAAAGACCTATTCTCTAATGGCTGAAGTAAACACATCGCAAACACAACCTATTGATGATTTAATGAATGGTTTACAAGGCCTCAGTCATGAACAATTGGTACAAATGATTATGGATATGGTACACATGCAAGAGAGTGGTTTACTATGTAAAAGCACAACACTTCGTAATATTCTTTTGAAGAAGATGCCAGTCGCAGATATTCAGCAGTTGATACAGAAACTACGTGTCCTTAGACAGAATATTTATGCCAGTCTTATATGTTCAAATGAGGATAACTCTGCATATAATCGTGCATATATACATTTAAACACATTCGAGGTAAGTAAACTTTTTTTTTTTATTTTGATCACAATCATCCAAACTTGTTGATTCGAACTTTTCATCGTTTTCAATCACTTTGCTCGCTAAAAATTAGTTACAATTTCTCCATATAATCTATCTTTCATTTCTCACTCAGAAAACTCTGATCGACCAAGGGAGAACACTGCAAGATTCTCAACATTGGATATCTTTAGTGCATTATGCACTGGCAGCGTGGGAAATTACCAAAGAATTGCCAGAATGGGAAAATCAAGGTCATCATAATACTACACGTAAATGCTTTAAGAGTTTATCGCAATTTTGTGCTGAAGCTATAAGAAGAGGTAATTTCGAAATATCGGATTTAGAAACATATATTGCAAGGTACGTAAAATAATACCACTCAAATTGAACGTTTGAAAACTACAGGTTTGAGCAATGAATATCTAAATATGTAAACAGTATATTGTCAACACGTATTCGATTATTTCCAGATTCAAGACCATCAGTGAAGAGTGCGAAGAGTTCAAAATTTGTCTTCAGATAGCAAAAGAAGCAAAGCAAGAGAGTTAAATTCTTTTTCTGTTTTACATGTATTTTTTTTGTGTGAACACTAGCTTCATTTAGGTATTTATTTTGGTATATTTATGTGACAGTCGAGACTGACACACGTATTTATGTGGAACATGATTTATAAGATAAGATAAAATTAACCAGTGAAAAATATCTTATTGGTACCCTGAAAAAAAAAATACAGGGTAGTTTTCTTTGGCTTACGTAAGATGTATACCCGTATTCATAGTCAGGCCTTGTATTTGAGGCCTCCTTATATCCATCTTTAGATGCTGCACGGATTATTTTATTGGCTACAGACCATCTGAAGATAAACTTAAGGAAGCCTTAAATATAAGGCCTGACCATGAATACGGGTGTAAGTCGCTGTATAGTAATCGAGTATACGACATTTTTTTTCCCCCAAGAAAATTCTGCATACACGTTCGTTCATTGAAGTATATATAATGCGTGTTTCACATATACATGTATTTTCGATTAACGAGCGCACTTGCATATGTGCAACACAAACGTACGATATTAAATGTACCTAATTACCTATTATCCGTCATTTGACATTAGCTGTTGTAAAACTATACAGTTTATATATATTTATAATATATTTTTTATGTTCTTTATTTTAAGATAAAAATAATCTAATTTTATATTCACCCTTAAGTGGAAAAATTGTTTTAACTTGCCAATATGACCGTCAATTTTAGCATCTATGTTAGATACAGAGAAAAAGATACATTGCCACTAAAAATATTACTCAACGCCGAAAATATATTCACTTCGATAAATCCATTTTTTTCATTTAAGGGCAATGTCGTAAGAAGCATTGTACTTTTTAAAATGTAAAACTGACCTTGCTTGGAGGTATATTTTAGTCTAGACTTGGACTATCCTTATAAAAGATATGGTCTAAATGATGGAAGACGAGAGCGAAAACGTCTTTATGACGAGTGTTCGAATGACGTTCTGTGTTGTTGAACATCGAATATTGCGGAATATTAATTATGTTTTGGTACACACAATTTTGAACTTGTTAAAATATTCAAAATACTCGAGAAAGACATTGTCGTCGTACGTATTTTTGTACCTTGCAGAAGTGTCTTTTAATGTCCAGTGTAATCGCTCTTTGACAATTTTTATAACATTTATTGTGAATTGCGTCAGGGAAAATGGACTAGTATGTGTGTATTCTTTTTATTAAAAACGATTTATTCGTCATAATATATCGTGTGTGTGTGTGTGTGTGTGAGTCCTTATATTCTAATATATCCATTATTACTTTCGAAAGGCACATATTTCATTTAACCAGCGATCAGAAATCTTCCGAGTGACTTACGTTCGTGTACATCACACGCCTGTACAGATTTGTCATAAGAGCACAATATAATAATGGTACTTGGAAAATCTCTGACGTTGCGGCATATCCGGTCGCAATTTTGTACATGCCTGTTCAAATGTTGCATAAATTTTTAGGCATTACCGAGAATCGGTATGTGTTCCGGGCCGATAAATCGAAATATCTCATTAGTGTTCCTTTCGTGTCATACTTCGTACATCTTTCCGCGTATCTGCACACCATTTGTAAATCCTATCGTATCGTATTTTACCGTGCATACTGGCAAGATTACGTCTCTAGGAACGACTTCGAGATTAGAGATCGGCCGAAGGTCCCCTTCGATATTTTCGGCAAACGTGATTAAGTGACACGTAACGATATAATCTGACCTCATCTAAACTCGAACATTTAGGTGAAGCAAATTAAGACCGAAGTAAAAACTCGTACTGTCCATGCTCGCGCGAATCACAAGCTGGCCGAGAATCGACGAAAGATAAGTGTACAGCACTGTTTCTTTTTTTTCCGTGAAATCTCAACTCGATCATTCTTGAGCGAAAATACAGAGAACGTTAGAACTTGTTAAATCTCCATTCATCAGTGTGCGAGCGACCGAAACTTAAATTACAATTTTGTACGAGTACAAAGATACGAAGTACACTTACACGCGAACACAAGTGACGAGCTTGATTACTCGCGTCGCGGGAGCTTGATTGGCAAGAACAGTCAGTTGCAACAACATTGGTGAAGATTTACAATCGAATACAATTATTTAACGCTTAATTTACAGCTATATTTGTAGCATTTGCAATTATATTAACAAATATTTTTCATTCGTTAATTTTCAAAAGGGTCAATGCCGTTTTTCCGTCAATTATTGCACAAACTGCGTGATACATAGAAGTATCACTTCCCGAGAAGCAAATGAATCAGTTGCTACGCGTGACTATTGAATAATTAAGTACAGCAAGATATATAACATGATCTAATGCTCCACGAGAACGTGTAAACGGTACGAGAGAGAGGGGGGGGGGAGAGAGAGAGAGAGAGAGAGAGGTGTGCCACTAATTCTTAGCTAAACTTTCGGGCAGAAAGTGAAGTTGAGAATGTGAATGTGCGACCGACAGTAAACTGTGGCGAGTGTGGTAAAATCGAACAGATCGCGAAGCGCATTCGTTCAGTTTACGGCAGATCGTAATGGTTCGCCGCTCGAGTTCCACAATGTGATGTGCGACCCGCTTTTAAAAAATATTAAAAAAAAAAAACAATGACATACGCCGTGCACAATTAAGAGATTACTACTCCGTTACAAGATCGCGCGCGGACTCTCGCTCGCGCGAGGATCCGTAGTGTCCGCATGTCGCAGTGAGATGCTATTAAATAATGCTACTAAAATGTGCCTACATCGTAGGATAACAATTAACAAGATAAAGCTGCAAATCAAATACTGTAGTAATCGTCCTGGATATCCTGCGAACACGAGATCCTTTAATCCGCTTTCGCTGGCTGCACTCTGGGATATAACTGCAAACGCAAACGAGGCAACTTAGCTTTGTCCTTACGACCCGCATCCGTGTTAATGCAAAATTCGACGCATTATTCCGCGCGGTAATTTTGAGCGATTAAACAATTGCGGTTTACCCCCAGCAGATTCCGAGGTACGTAGCCTTCCTTGTGACCGAGTTTGCTCCACCACCATTCCCTCTCGTTGTCGTCTCCTTTCCGCAGCACGATCACAGAATCGCCATTCTTCAACGAGAGCTCATCAGCATGCTGCGCCTCATAGTCGAAGACCGCGTAGACCTGACCGTTGTTCATGATGCCCAGTTTCTCTTGAACACCTGAGAAAAAAGTTGAGAACTCTCCTCAGCGAAAAGCGTCACTTTACTTGCTATCGTCGATTAGTATCTTAAGTGATCATATCGAGATACCGACTGTACAAGTACTCCGAGCATCCGTCGAATCCCTCCTCGTCCTCCTCGCATTTCTCCGCCGCGGTCTCGTGATCTGACAGAGTGGTCGCGAAGATGCAGGCGCCGTGCTCGACCAAGAATCTCACCATCGATAAATTGTTGCAACTGGCCGCGCAGTGCAACGGGGTCCTGCGTGAGAAATGTTAATATCAAAATCAAATAAATTTCAAGAACACTAAAATAAGATAAATGTTAACAATAATTGTGTGTTATAAAAATTTCATAGTAATCGTTGATATATCTGATATTAATCATTGTTTGTTAATTAATGTTAACTACGATACATTTAGTTGGTATATTTATCATTTATCTTTTTACGTAGTTACTATATTTATTATATATTTATTAAGTATAATATGTGAGATGGTTAATAATGTTTAATGTTAAACCGCCGTTTGTTAAAAAATGTTAAGTATAATGTCAACTATAGTATACTTAACTTATACTTAATTTAAAGCAATATATAGAATGGTTAATAATGTTTAATGTTAACTGTCGCTTATTAATGTTAAATATAATATATTCAGTTGATATATTTATTTAATTTTTCTTATCAAGTATTTATTTGTTTAGTTAGTATATTTTTGAAAATATAATATAGTTAATGTTAAGTGTAATATGTAAGTTAATAATGTTTAACCGTTGTTTGTTAATGTTAAGTATAATACATATAATTAGTATATTTATTATTTATTTAGTTTTTATTATTAAATATTTATTTATTGAGTCGATATAATTATTATACAAGGTGTCCCATTTTAAATGAGCCAGGCAAAAATCTCGAAAGATATGACAGATAAGAGACGTTTCAGACAAAAATGGTATGGTTTTAAAGGGGATATAAAACAACTATATCATTTTGTTTATAGATATAAAATAACTGTATCATTTTGTTTACAGATGGCAGATTACTCTTGAGATATTCACTAACCATTACTTTTCTTAAATGGAAATTTTTTATTGTGTTATCTTTTTTTACCAATTAATGTTAACAACTTTTGTCTGAAATATTTTTTTATTCACCTAATATTTTTCGAGATATTTAAGGAAAACCTGGTAACCTTTTCAACATTCAACTTATGATATCTATTTGTCGGAAGGAAAAACAGTACTAGACTTTTTTACTCTATTTGGTCCCAAGAATATATTGTTACAATAGTGTTCTAACTTTTGTTAACTTATCGATCTTTAGAAATTTCAAAATCATCAAATTAACAAAGGTCAAAGCTATTGTAACAATATATTCTCGAGACTAAATAGAATAAAAAAAATCTAATATCATTTTTGCTTCCGACAAATAGTTAACGAGATATCGTAAATTAAATATTGAAAAAAATTATCAAGTTAAATATCTCAAAAAATATTAGGCAAATAAAAAAGTGTTTCAAACAAAAGTTGTTAAAATTAATTGGTAGAAAAAGATGACATAATAAAAAAGTGGGATGTCCATTTGAGAAAAATAATGATCAGTGAATATCTCGAAAGTGGCGCTATCTGTAAATAAAATGATATAGTTGTTTTATATCCCCTTCAAAACCATACCATTTTTGGCTGAAATGTTTTTTTAATACCTTTCATATCTTTCGAAATTTTTGCCTAGCTTATTTAAAATGGGACATCCTGTATATTTAAATATAATACAGTTAATGCTAAGTATAACAAGACGGTTAACAATGTTTGATATTAACCGTCGCTTGTTAATATTAGATATGAATCATTGTTTAGAATTGTCAAGACGACGCTTTCGTCGCCAAGCCGGCTGTATGTGTCGCAGGAGGCTGCGTATTGCTAAATCGATCGACTCATCAATTTACCATCCGTCGCTGTCCTGAGCGTTTACGTCGCAGCCGAACTCCACGAGGAACTTGACGATCTCGAGGTGACCGGCACATATCGCGTTGTGCAGAGCGGTGATGCCTTCGTCGTTAGCAGAGCTCGGGTTAGCCACCTCTTTGGCGGTCTTCTTCACGAGCTCGAGCTCACCCTCGAGGCTAGCGTCGAGCAGCAGCGCCAGTGGGTCGAACGATACCCGCCTGGATAGATTGACCTTGCCTGTGCTCGACTTGAGATTTCCTTTCTTCCTCCTCATCACTTCCGATATCTTGCCTCCGTCCACATCCATGTCGGTGCCCAATAGTTCCGTGTCAGTCTTCATCTTCGTTGATTTGTCGTCGATGTTGATGACATTGAGCGCGTCGACGATATCCGATTCTTCCAACCTCTCGCTGTCGCCGATATCTTCACCGATAGCGGTGATGCTCTTACAATTGTCTGTAGTGTCGATGGTCTGCTGTTGTTGTTGCTGTTGTTGCTGCTGCTGCTGCTGCTGCTGCTGCTGCTGCTGTTGCTGCTGCTGCTGTTGTTGTTGCTGCTGCTGCTGCTCGGTCTGCATGAGATCCGCTGGGATTTCCGTTTCCGGGAAGAGAAAGGCCGGGGGCATCTCAATCCGCCGATTTATCGACACGTGAACATTAGATTTGGCATATCTCAGCTTCGGCTGTTCCGATATCGGTACCTTCTTCAGGCTCAGCGGTCGCGCCTTGATGATCTGATGATTGGCTAGCTGCGTCTCCGTGGGAGAATCAGGCGGCTCCGATGTGGGGATCGGCGGTATATCCTCGTCCTTATCCGATCTGTGGAGTGCGCGTAAGAGAATAGATTAATCCCAAAGCACAAGGTATCCAAATGTTAAGAGCAAAAACGTCATAAGTCGTCGTAGTCACTGGAAAAAAATTACCTCTCAGTCAGGACTCGCGATTCTCTCTCGAGCGCATCGAGAGGGGAACACCGAACGATACGATTTGCAGCGGCGAGATCTCTCATTCGAGACCCTGCAAATCTCTCTTGCACCGGTCGAATACCGATAGATAATGTGCAATTTTCGCCATCATCGTGCCTTTCGAACAGCCTAATATCGTCCAGTCGCGTAATATGAGCCACATAAACAAACGATCGGATTGCCGATTAATCGTGCTGAAGATCGTCGGACTGACGAACGAGGTGAACGCTGCGAACGCCGTTCGTAGCCGATCAGAGAACTGGCGAACACTAAGAGCGAGTCCATGTCGTTCCCTGCGGCACACAGCCGCGATTCTATTTCGGTATCTATTATTCGAGACAGGCTTCGATTCACCGGCCAAATCGATCGCGAACTAATTAACATTTATAATTAACCCGGTAATCGTTTTGTCATTCCTCGGCCCAAGTCCGAGTGCGAAGCGTTCAATGAATACCTGACTGCCTGTAAGGGGGACGGCAGTAGAGGGGAGTGTAAAGAGCACTAAGGGATTTGTAAAAACTCGTGTTGCGGTCGTAAATCGCGAGTATTCGTCGGGTCGCGAAATAAATTACTCCTGTAAACGTTCTCTTAGTACGAACATAATGAGATTATTGTAAAACAAACTTTTTGGCCCAGCTGAGTTGATTTTATAAAATCTACTTCGCCGAGATGAAGTCTTCTTTCCAACACAACAATTTCTATAATACTTCTCTTTCTCTTGTCAATTGAATAGAAATTGAATAGAATCGAAAGCTCTCCGAGATGAGCCTAAGAAACTGCTTGTAAATTATTTCCCAGCGGTCGCAGAGCAGAAAGCTGTTAACCCGGAATAGACGAACATGCACAGACCTTGAGTTAAGATTCGCATTGGTCAGCTTGCAATCGTTCATCCCGTCCGGTAGCGCGTCGATCTTCTCGTGATGAGTCAATCTCGGCGGTGGATTGGGCTTGCTCGGTTTCGGCGGCAACGCCGGCTTCATCTTGTCCTCCATCCGCGGCTCGTTGAAGCTCTTCCTCTCGCCGTCGCTCTTCGCTCTGTCGAACTCGAAGGGCTGCTTGTCAGCCGTTTTCACAGGAATCTCGTACTTGGCCACGTGATCGGCCACGTGCTTCGCCGTGGAATTCTGCTCGTATTTGGAGCCGTCGAATTTATTCTGGCCGCCTTCGTATTTGCTGCTCTGCTGTTCCGTCTTGTATTGGCCGTTACTGTCGTACTTGCCGGCAGGCTCGTGTTTGAACGCCGCGTTGTGATCGTACTTGTTCGATGATCTGCTCTCGTGCTGCTGTTGCTGCTCCTGTTTGCTGTATTGCTGCGTGTTATCCCGAGCGGACTCATACTTGGCGTTGAGGTGCTGCTGCTGTTGCTGCTCGTGCTTCGCTTGACTCACAGCAACCTGGTCGTGCTTGCTCTGCTGTTGCTCGTACAGCTTCGACGGCTGCACCGTCGTCGCTGACTGCTCGTACTTGCTGTGCTGTTCGTACTTGATTTGCTGAGATTCGTACTTGGCGAGGCTCGTGTCGTACCTATTGACCTGCTGCTGCTGCTGCTGCTGCTGTTGCTGCTGCTGCTGCTGCTGCTGCTGCTGTTGTTGTTGCTGCTGTTGCTCGTGTTTGGGCGGTAACACGGTATGCTCGAACTTGTCTTGAGTTTTGGCCGATTCGAACTTCACCTTCTGACTGTTCAGAATTTGATTCTGCGGCTCTTGGCTCTGCGACTCCAAGTTCGAGCCGGACGACAGCTGCGGCTGATTGTATCTCTGCGCGCTCGAGCTGTTGCTGAAGGTGGCTGCGGCGCTGCCATGAAGACCAATCGAAGTGAGATTCGACGACTCTCTTTGGAGCTGATAGATGTTTGTTGAAGGCGTATTGTGGATACTCGTCTGATTCGGATACTGCTGTTGCTGCTGTTGTTGCTGCTGCGGCTGCTGCTGCTGCTGCTGCTGCTGCGACCCGGGCATGTAACCGTGTCTGGATGCGTTATAGTTTATCGTTTCCTGGTTGCCGACATTGCTGGGTTGTACCAGCTGTGCGCTGGTGGTTGTGGTCTGTTGCTGCTGCTGTTGCTGCTGATGCTGCTGTTGATTATTGCTCGGCTGCACGTTGAGACCTGCAATGTTGTAGTTTGGCGCGTTGTTTGTATGCCCGCGACCTAGTAGACTCAACGTCTGCGGCATCACCGGGTGGATCTTGGTCGAGGACGTCTGGTAGATTTGCGACTTGACGGAGAAACTAGGCGCCACGCTCGATACCGGTTTCTGATGGATGGTCTGCAGGTTGCGATGGTTCTGCGTCTGTGAGATCGACGAGACAGTGACCCCGAGGTTCGTCGACGCGCCGCTCGACGCCGTGCCGGTCACGTTGTGTTGCTTTTGCTGACCTCCGTTGCCATTCTGATGTTGCTGCTGCTGTTGTTGCTGCGATTGCTGTTGCAGATGGCCTTGGTGAAGACGAAGACCCTGCGACAGATTGTCCGGGCTAAAGCTGTGCGCGCTGCCACCACCGATGAGATTGTTGTTGTTGTTGTTATTGTTGTTATTGTTGTTGTTATTGTTATAGTTGCAACTCGACTGGATCGTTGTAGCTTGATTGCCGAGATTTTGATTGTGCTGCTGTTGTTGCTGCTGTTGCTGTTGATTACTTCCTAATAACTGGGATTGACCTAAACATTCGATTAGGTATTAAATCCATGCGTAAAGGAGTTTGAAAGAAAAAAACGCGTTGGCAGTAGTACGTCATGGGTGACGAGGAAACCTATTATGTTACCTTCTAATTATAAAAATATAAGAAAAAAAATATGTATATATATACTTATACGAGTATATGTTTTTACAAGTTTGCACGAAATATTATACATATAGTTGTATCGATACATTTATTTTTCAGCCTTCGAGATGCGTTAAAGGAGCGTGCTGTCAACGCTAACACGTTATTCTATCTTTATCGCTCATTACATGTATAAATATTGAATGATACGTTAGCGCTGATCGACGCGCTCCTCGAACGCATCTTTAGTAGGCACCACATAGATGCGTCTTATGATCTCAACGGTCCTGAGGTCGCGAGTCGCGACCGTCAGTTGCTGGATCCGCTGCGCGGGAGATAGAAGGCGTAGCTTCCGAAAATCGGCCGAAAGTTGTAAACTTTGCCGAGCTCTGCTGTACATCGTTGGAAAAGTGACATATTCAGTTGCCATTTGAGCGAAAGTCTTATATATTTCGATCGAATTTACATTGTGAAAAAAAAATTGTGAAAATGAACGGAAAAAAGTGCATTTACGGCATAATGTGCTTTATGAGTTTTGGAAGGGTGGAGGAGTTGTAACAGTTGAAACTGCTGTAAAAAAAAACATTCAAGATGTCAATCAGGACTGTGCATCAGCATTTCAAATTGTTAAGAAATGGTTTGCGAAATTTAGACGTAATAATTTTCACTTTGACGATCAGCTACTATTTGGCCGATCTTCTGTCATAGATGATGATGACATCGTGTGCAATTTAACGCAAAATAATCCACAAATTTCAACAGAAAAGCTTGCTGAGAGATTTAACATTGACAGATTGACCACATTTCGGCATTTAAAACAAATTGGGTACACTTTGAAGTTCGATGTGTGGGTGTTTTATTTGCTAAATGAAGCGAACAAATTAAATCGAGTTTCAGCTATTTCCTTGCTTTGATCGACTAAATAAAAAGCGATTCTTGGATCGACTGATAGCTGGCGATGAAAAATATGTCCTGTACAACAATATTCAATGCAAATACGTACTTGGAAACAAATACAAATGAGCGTACAGAATCCATCGGCAAAAGCCAATTTACTAGGTGCGCAACTAAGTTTCCGGGTTTCACACATGGATGGCGCTAACGACACATGTAGTCGACATACATGTCTGAAGTTGTGTTTTTTTTATAGCTTGGACTTCTGTTAACAATAACCAGTCATAATACCAACACATATCGCAACGCAAAAATATTTTTTCTAACAACGAAGATGTCGAGTTTTGTGCCAAATAAACAGCATTTGCGGGAAGCTTTGCTTTTCTGCTTTAAATTGAAAAAAAGTGCAGCTGAAGCACGTGTTTGCTTGAGGAGGCCTACGGCGAACATGCACCATCGAAAACTACCTGTGAAGATTGGTTTAAACGCTTCAGAAGTGGCGATTTCGACACTGAGGACAAGGAGCGCTCCGGAAGACCAAAAACAATTGAGCACGCCGATCTGCAAGCGTTATTAGATGAAGATGATACGCAAACACAAGATCAACTTGCGGAGGCATTAAACATGACTCGCCAAAATATTTCCAAACGTTTACATGTTATGGGAAAAATTCAAAAGGACGGAAAATGGATGCCGCATGAGTTGACTGAGAGACAGATGGAAAATCGAAGAGCCACTTCCGAAATTTTGCTTTTGCGGCATGAAAGAAAGAAAGAAAATTTCCTGCATCGAATTGTTACTGGCGATGAGAAGTGGATATATTTCGAGAATCCCAAACGCAAAAAACGTGGCCTTCACCTGGCGAAGCATCAACATCGACGGCACGGCCAAATCGCTTCGAAAAGAAGACAATGCTCTGCGTTTGGTGGAACCAGAAAGGAATCGTGTACTATGAGCTGCTGAAAAAAGCCGGGCGAAACTGTCAATGGGCATCGCTACCGATAACAACTGATCAGTTTGAACCATGCATTGCTCGAAAAACGGCCAGGATGGAACACGAGACACGAACGAGTGATATTGCAGCACGACAACGCTCCGTGCCATCGCACTTCCATCGTCCAGGACACCATCAAAACGCTGAAATGGGATCTGCTACCGCACCCGTCGTATTCGCCAGACCTGGTCCCTTCCGATTATCACTTGTTCCGGTCGAGGCGCATGGCTTGGCTGGGTAACACTTGGCCAATTTCGAAGAAGTGCAAAATTGGTTGGATGAATGGTTTCGGTCCAACGACGCGTCGTTTTATCGTCGCGGTATTCATATATTGCCAGAGAGATGGCAAAAATGTGTAGCTAGCGAGGGATGATACATTGAATAAACCATTTTTTGTATTTCTCTTGGAATTTTCCATTTTTCATTGATCAAGAAACCCGGAAACTTAGTTGCACACCTAGTACATTATGAGAAGATGATGCTTTCTGTTTGGTGAGATTGCAAAGAAATAATTTATTTTGAGCTATTCTCCATTAGTCAAACAATTCTGGCAAATACTGTCAACAAATAGGCAATTCGAAGACAGAAGTCCAGGAGAAGCGTCCAATCCTAGCCAATCGCAAAGGAGTCAAGGCAAAACACATATTGCAAAACAGATCTTACGTAGACTAAAGAAACTAAAATGGAATGTGATATCGTACTATCGGACCATCATTTGCTTCGATCATTGCAAAATGAATTGAATAGGATTGAATAGGAATTGAAAATGATTTGAATAGGAAAAAATTCACATCTTTGGAAGCCGTCAAAAACCATCTTTCTTCCTCCTTCAACGCAGAATCGAGGTCGTTTTACGATCGAGGCATCCGTATGTTAGCAAAATATTGGGAAAAGGTTGTAGAAAATGACAGCGATTACATCTTTGATTAACAAAGAAATGTTACATGCCAAATTACTACTTGAGTTTTAATCAGAAATCGAGCAGGAACTTTTGCACTCATCCAACACATCAGGGGGAGATGATAAAACAAGTTTGATGGATTAACCGTTAAGAAATATGATCGATTCAGCGTCTATTCAGTTGTGAATAAAGTGGAACCCTCACCCTGAATGTGCGACTGTGACTGGCTGTGAACGATTTGGTGGCCATATTGCTGAAAGGCCGGCCGCTGACCCAACTGGGAGGCGCTGGCCGAGTGTTGTATCTTATTTTTGTTCACGTCGTCCTCTATCGCCTTGAAGTTCACTGTGAACTTGGTGTTATACGGCAGTGTCTGGTACTTTGGATCATTCTTGTTGAGGTTAAAGTCATTGTCGTTGGGTATATGGGAGTACGGCTCGATCGCGGCGATGTTCCCAGCCGGCCTCAGCTTGCCGCCGTTGTTGAAGCCGTCAAGCTTCGTCTCGGGGAAGCCTGTCGTATTGGCACCGACGCGGCCGGAGCCCGAGCCCAGCTGATGACTCAGCCGTTGGTTCAGCGCTCTCTTCCGCTGAAGACGACTCTGAAGCTGCGCTATCCGCGCGTCTATCGACGCCATCTCGGCCTGCCTCTGCGCCAGAGCCAGACGTTGCTGCGACACCATTTGGTTCTGCTGCTCATTCATTTTGTTGCGGTACTACGAACAGATATCATGCAAAATCTCCATTCCACTAATGGCTCTCACAGCAGCCAGTGTGTTCGCTCTTTGCCAATTTCGACTGAAAGCCTACCGCCGCACTCTTGAGAACGGCTCGCCGAGCGCAACGACGCGCGTTCCCTCACGAGCGCTTTGTCCACCGGCTTGACTTCTCTCTCTCTCTCTCTCTCTCTCTCTCTCTCAAGAGAGAGAGAGAGAGAGAGAGAGAGGGAGAGAGAGCGTAATCGATGGCGCGAGCTTACCATAAGCTCTCTCCTGAGCTTCTCCAACTCCGCGCTGGCCGGGGTGACTAGGTGCCCATTGCCGGTAGCACCCGTGAGACCTCCGCCGAGGCTGCCAGCGCTTCCTCCGCCGCCACCGACGTCGACGGCATTCTGCCGACCCCGGAGCTCCTCCAACTGCCGCGTCAGCTCCTCCACCTTCGCCACCGCCAACGAGAGCTCCTTCTCTTTCTCGTTGAACAGCGCCCTGATGCAGTCCAGGTCCGATGCTGCGGGCAAGAAAAACAGACGGGTCGTGGAGCTTGCACAGACTCGCAAGAGCGAGTCGTGAGAGGTAACGCAAAGCGACGCGCCGGCATGAACGGCACCGACCACCGTGGTGGTGCTTTCTTACGAAAGTTATTGAAATTCGTGCGCTATTACCACGGAAGCTCTCGCGAGATTACATCGGGTATTAATGTAGGAGTGAGTTCGAGCAGATGAGATGTTCTCTTTTGCGCGCGCATACACACACACACACACACACACACACACATGCCAGCCTTCGGTTTTCGCAGTTCCAGGTGTAGAGTACATGTGTGCGCGCGCGTATGTCGCAGCCGTCACGAGATGAGCACGTGGCAGTGTTCGTAAGGGATAACGTCATATTAGCACGGACGCATTAATCATCGCTCTGCGACTTCCCCAGGAGCGATATACTTTCGCGAATTCCACTGGAGGCGTGTGGCGCCTCGTCTTGTGCCCTCGTCGAGCCAGAGAGCCTTGGTCCCTCCTCTCGCTCTCTCCCTCTGTCTCTCTTTGCCCCGTGAAGGCTCGTATCAGATTAGAAAGTTATTATACATGCGCGATGGACCACTGAACCAACCACATATTGCTACACGGAGAGCTCCATAATCTCTCCCGTATTGGCCGTACAGAGCGATCTGCTGACGTGGAATTCCATTCCATTATCGAATTCTGGATTGGCACAGTCTCCGAATATTGTCTACTGGCTGAGGACAGGTATCTCTCCCTTGAGGTATTTCATTATTTGCCGATAATGTTGCTCGCGGCCCCGGGTCTGCTTGAAAAACTTCGCTGCCGGCAATCACCGGGGTCGGCCCGGACCGCCGCGGATGTCTTCGGGAACGACCGTGTTGGTTCCGCTTTGGTGAATCGCTCGAGTTTCGCCGGACGATATTAATCCGATCGCTCTCGAGTTTCGCCAACTCATGCTGCCGCTGCATCTTCCACCGGCCCGGAGCGGAGCAACAATCGAGACCGGCGGACGATTTCGCAGATATTTTGTGCGGATATCGAGCGAGAGGGTCAAAGGGTCGATTCCTTCCGCGTCGTTTAACTTGGACCGTAGTTGGATTTAATTTAGGACCAATTTCGTCGACGCCGATTAACTTTAATCATGCTTCAATTGTCTCTTCCTCTCTCCTTTGCCCCCTCCCTCCTCTCTCTCTCTCTCTCTCTCTCTCTCTCCCACTTTGCATACAGACGATGTAACCAGAGAAAAACAGCAAAATGATGAAGCCACCGGAATCGGCGAAATTGGCGTTAAATCGAACAACATCGGAGTCGCGCCCCTCGCATACGGCTCTCATAATCGTTAATTAAAGTTAATCAAGAGCCGAACGATTGGATCCGCCCCTCTTCATTCCGTCGAGATCTCCGTGAGAAACTTCAGGGAGAGTGCATTTTGTCGGAATTATCACATCGAATGTAAAAACGAAAGATACGAGGTAACCGAGAAGAACCCGACCTGTCCCGCGGTTGGTGATCGACCCGACAAAAAAGTCCAACGGCCAGGAGATTAAAGCGCGTTTTTAGCGCGTATTTACGAGAACGACGGAGAGGTACGACGGAGTTTTCGCATGAAAGCTGATCGTTGCGGCAGGCAGCGTGCCGGCTGGCTGCGCCGCCGACAAAATCAAATGTCTCTCTCATCATGCATGCCGCCCATTCGCACCACCTCGGGGCCGCGGGGAGAGGGTGCATATATGCGTAGAAAATTCGCAGGGCGAATACACTCACGGGAGTATCGAGGAGGGAAATTCGAGCGCTTGACTTTTTGCCGGGGGACGTTCCTCGAATTCGCCCCCGTCAGCTGCTCCTCGTCGCTCCATTTAGACGCGATCTCGCCAGCTTTTCTGCGATTCTTATTTCGGGAAACAGGCCTCCTTTCCTCCCCACAACCAGCCCCGTCTTCTCCCCCCCGTGTCCCCTCCTCGCCTATGCTAATCTCTTTATTTTTGGTAAAGCTTTACATTAGAAGACCCATCTCCCACTTTGACCTTGACTTACACAGGGTGTTTCACAAAAAGAATTCAGGACTTCGAAGGCAGATTACGAACGTACTCACGAAATGGAGGAAAAAAGTCCTAATAAATATGAGTCGAAAAATTAATATTGTCGAAGTTGGGAACAATTATTTATTTCAATTAAAGCAAGTGACCTATTCGCTCCTGGTGCTTACCAAATTTACAGAAGATTTTCTACATGTCCTCTTTTTATTTTCTATACACGCTTCACATCTTCGTACCGTAGAAAATTGCAAACTCTCTCAAAATTCAAAAATTTTGTTCTAACAATTTAACAGGCATCTTGTACTCTCTAGTGTAATTCGTCTATATCACTTATCGGTGAAGAGAGAGTGAAAGAGTTAAGAAATCCCCCCCAAAAAAGACCAGGGGATTTAAATCTAAAGAGCGAAGGGACCATGAGACTGGTCCGTTCCGTTCAATCCATTTTTCATTGAAGGACCTATTTAAATGCAGAGTCGAATAGTAACTAGTTAATTAGTTAAAAATTAAGGTAAAAAATTAAAACCTGACTTTTAACTTGACTTTTAACTTGAAAAAACTTTCAACTTGACTTAGTTAATTTCAAACGTGTTAACTTTTAACTTAATCTATCCAGTTATCTTTAAATGCACTGACGTTAACTCGTTAATTTTGTTCGAGTCACATGTTAAGATAATTCATCAATGTTAAAGTTGTGCGAAAACGGTTGATCGCAATGCGCATAAAAAAACGCACATTTTCGAGTAGAGCAGATCGAATTAAACGGAAAAGTCCTTTATCATTCTGTGAATTTCACAATACTTATTAAAGAACTAATTAAACAATATTAGTGACCCCGTGCGCATATAATTTCTGTAAACAAAGTCTCATTCAAAATGATTCTAATCTAATGATGATCTGGCGAAGGCGAACGGTTCATGATGATGAACATTAGAGTTGTGCAATTAGTATCACCGCTTGTTGCTAACAAATCATCAACAGAATCGAGACATTTTTTATTATCTATAGACCTTATCTACAAACGTCGTCCTCCCGCTACCCGTATACTCACTTATTAACATTGTTTAATTAATTCCTTAATATAATATAATATTCCTTAATATTCTATAATTCGCAAAACGGTACAGGATTTTTCTATTCAGATTGATTCGCTCTATCTGCACACAATTATTTTGCCTTTTATTGTTCATAATTAAGCACTTTGTTTTTAAACGGTTTAATCTGTCTATTACAACTATTATACTTTTCAAATAATGTATACTATTAAAAAAAGAAAAAAGTTACCTCTTTTATAAAAATACTATCTTTTTATTATTTCATCTGAACTTAATATACAATTAAAAGGTTAATAATTTAAAGGTTATATAAAAAACATACAGCTTAATTATATAATTAACTTTTAATTTTAATAAATTGATTTAACTTCTTAACTTTTACTCGAGTCAGTTATTTAAGTAATTTTTAACGTAGACGTAGTTAATTTATAAATCATTAACTTCAAAATTAACTTAGTTTAAAAAAAATAAATAAAAAATAACTTACCAAACTCTATTTAAATGTTATCAGACATTGAATGCGAAATAAGCTATTTATATAACTCCGATGATATTAATTTTTTGACCCATATTTATTAAGACTTCTGCATTTTGTGTGATTGCCATCTGCTCTTAAAGTGCTGAACCCTTTTTTTTAAATACCTGTATAAATACGGTATTATAGAAAGATTATTCTTTTGAGTAATCTTCAGAAAATTTTAGCCATTGCTCATTGTTTACTGAAAAGTTATTAAGAGGAGAAATTTTATAAAAAGAAGTTTTATATATAGTTTTGTACGTAAAAAGAAATTTGGAATATAGTTTTGACATCATGCATTTTTAAAAAGCAAACACAAAATACATACTATATACATACATAAATACTCTATTCAGTAATTTTTAAAAAGTTTCAGCCATTAATCGTTGTTTTTTTAAGTTATTAATAAAGATCTCGTAAATGAAACGTATATTTTTTACACAATGTAGTTCGTTAGGTCAAGTTAGGTTAGGTTAGGTTAGGTTAGGTTAGGTCAGGTCAGGTCAGGTCAGATTAGGTTAGGCTGCAAATGATGCTGAATGATGTTATGAAACTTCACTTATCTATATGATATCAAAAATGTACGTTTCATTCATGTTCTTATTAATGACTTTTTAACATAAGTCAAAGTCAAGATCATAAGATCCTCTAATGAGTCCCCCCTAATGTGAAAGTTTACCTTATTTTTCAATCCAACAGTCGCGAGCGAGCGCTCGAGTGCGAATAATCGCGGCGCTCGAAAGAACAGTCAATCATCTCGTTTTCAGATCCGTCCGACAAACATTTCGGTGTTGGGCTTGATAAAAAAAAAAAGGAGGGCACACAAGTGTCATTTTTTCCGACGACCCGGCCGGTTTTGATATAGCTCGCCGGTGGTCGCCGCGATAAAAATATGCAAAAGGTTACGAGTGAAAACCCAGAAATAACTTCTGCACTTCTTTGTGACCGGCGACAAAGAAGCGCGACGAGAAATGGACAATTAACAATGAGGCGGATGCTATTGAGGAACGCAAACGAGCGGATTAGCGCTTTGAGCATTTTTCGGCACGAGCATTTCGGACATACGATGATACGAGAAGCGACCGTCCCTTTGAACGTTTCCGCATCGGGGAGACCAATTCTCGAGCTCAAACGCCGCTCGCTCGTTCGTTCGTTTGTTCGTTGGTTCGCAAAAATTTTTTCCTCCACGCCACGCGCTATACAATCATCGGCAAAGTAACGACGTTCCTTTTCCCTGAAACGGTCTGTACGCGCGTTTGCGCATCGATCGACGTATCCGCGCGTCCATGATCGAACGTGTGTCGCGCTTCGCGCGCGCGCAACACTACTACACAAAGCGATGCGATGCGCGCGGCGTTAAACAATAGACGCAGCCACGCCATGCGTTGCGTCACTATAAATGCACG